CGATGGCGTTGGAGCTGGCGTATTCGCAGGCATTGATGCTAACGTCAGTGCTGATTTCGGGGCTGGCGTAGGCTCTGGCGCATGAGCTGGCGTCGTGCTGGCGTCGGCGTTGGGGTGGGCGCTGGTGTTGGTGACAGCGTAGGCGCAGGCGTTGGTGCTGGCGTCGGCGCTGGCGTTGGCTCTGTCGTATGCGCTGGCGTTGGTGCCAGAGTTGGAGCAGGCGTTAATGCTAGCGTCAGTGCTGTCGCCGGCGCTTGCGTAGGCACCGGTGTCGGAGCTGGCGTCGAGGCTGGCATCGGTGCTAGGGTAGGCGCCGGCGTTGGCGCAGGCGCAGGCGCAGGCGCTGGCGTTGGTGCTGGCGTCGGTGCGGGCTTCGGCGCTGGTGTGAGCGCCGGCCGGCGTTGGTGCCAGTGTTGTGGACCTGAGGCTGCATGGGCAGCGACAATTGTGGCTGCTGGGCTGGGCTGCGCTGCTGTCGCAAATGTCGGTCGTCTCCATCTCGGTGGTGGTCAGTTCCACCTCGGTGGTGGTCAGCTCCTGATCGATCGTCTCTTTCTCGGCAGTGGTCGTTTCCACCTCGGTGGTGGTCATCTCCAGCGCACCGTGTAGCTGGGCAGCTAACGGGTGCGCTGCGTCCTGGCGACGGTGCTGGTGTAGGCGTCGGCGTTGGTGCAGGCGTAAGCGCCGGCGTTGGTGCTAGCGTAGAGGCTGGCGTCGGCGCTGGTGTATGCGCTGGCGTTGGTGTCGGCGTCGGCGCAGGCGTTAGTGCTTGCGCTGGTGCGCGCCGGTTAGCTGGTGGGCAGCTAACCGATGCGCTGCGGCCTGGTGTCGGTGCTGATATAGGCGCCGGCGCTGGTGCCGGCATAGGCGCTGGCGGAGGTGGTGGTCACCTCCTGATCGGTGATCTCCGTCTCGGTCGTGGTCCTTACCACCTCGGTGGTGGTTAGTTCCTGATCGGCCGTCTCCATCTCGGTAATGGTCATATCCACCTCGGTGGTGGTCAGCTCCTGGAAGCCGTGACACGTCCTGGCGGGTATTCCGTGACATCAGGAAGCCCCCAGTGCGACGAGCGTCAAATCAATGGTCATCACAAGTCTGATGTATCCATGAAGGTGGTGGTGACGTAGGCGCTGGCATAGGCGCCGGCGTTGATTCCGGCGTCGGTCCTGGCGTCGGCGCAGACGTAGGCGCCGACGTAGGTGCTGGCGACAGTGCTGGCGTCTGTGCTGGTGCAAGCGCTTGCGCTGGTGCTGGTGCCGGCGTAGGCGCAGGCGTTGGTGCTGGCGTCGGTGCTGATGTCGGCGCTGGCGTAGGCGCTGGTGCCGGCGTAGGCGCAGGCGTTGATGCTGGCGTCGGTGGTGGCGTCGGTGCTGGCATAGATGCCGGCGCAAGTGCTGGCGTCGGTGTTAGCGTCGGTGCTGACGTAGGCGCTGGCGTGGGCTACGACTGAAGCGCCGGCGTTGGCGCTGGCGTCGGTGCTGTCGTCGGCGCTGGTGTAGGCGCAGGCGTTGATGATCGCTTCGGTGCTGATGGGCGCTGGCGCTGGTGCCGGTGCAGGCGCTGGCGTTGGTGCTGGCGTAGGTGCCGGTGTTGGCGCTGATGTGAGCGCAAGCGTTGATGCTAGCGTCGGTTCTGTCGTAGTCACTAGCGCTGGTGCCGGTGTAGGCGCTGGCGTTGGTGCTGGCGTAGGTGCTGGTGTTGGTGCTGGTGTCGGTGCTGGGCGATCTTACTCCCAAAACTCACCGTGTAGTCGAAAGCGTTGGTGCTAGCGTCGGTGCTGGCGTAGTCGCTGGCGCTGGTGCCGGTGTAGGCGCTGGTGTTGGTGCAGGCGTAGGCGCTGGTGCTGGGTGCCGACATGATGGAAAGAATTTCGGCCACGTTCGCACGACAGCCTTCCGCAGGTGATGGTTGTCGGGGGTGTCGTGGTGCGGCTTGGATTCGCGGATGGGCCGGTACACCCAAAGAGCGATCTTACTACCAAGACTCACCGTGTACTCGAAAGCGTTAATGCCAACGTCGGTGCTGGCGGAGGCGCTGGCGCTGGTGCCGGTGTAGGCGCTGGTGCCGGTGTAGGCGCTGGCGCCAGTGAAAAACCCTCCTTGTTTGATCGATCACCTCCAAAACGGCCCCAAGATGGCCCCCAAGGCTATCAAAAATGCCCCAAATGGCGCCCAGAAGGCCCCAAGAGGCCCCCAAGATGCCCCCAAGATGCCCCCAAGAGGCTCCCAAGAGACCCCCGAGAGGCCCACAGAGGCTCCCCCGAGGCACCCGAGACCCTTCAAGAGGCCCCCGGGAACACCAAGAGACCCCCAAGAAGCCACCGCAGGTTTACAAGAAGCTCTCGAGAAGCATCCGGAGAGACTCCGAGAAGCACCCAAGAGTCCTCTGGCCTTTCTGTTCGCCCTCCTCCTCCCTCCTCCTCCTCCTCCTCCTCCTCCTCCTCCTCCTCCTCCTCCTCCTCCTCCTCCTCCTCCTCCTCCTCCTCCTCCCCTCCCTTCTCCTCCTCCTCCTCCTCCCTCCTCCTCCTCTCCTCCTCCTCCTCCTCCTGCTCCTCCTGCTACTCCTGCTCCTCCCCCTCCTCCCTCCTCCCTCCTCCCTCCTCTCCTCCCTCCTCCCTCCTATCTCCTCCCTCCCTCCCTCCCTCCTCCCATCTCCTCCCTCCTCCCTCCTCCCTCTTCCTCCTCCCTCCTTCCTCCCCCCTCCTCCCTCCTCCCTACCTCCCCCATCCTCCTCCTCCCTCCTCCCTCCTCCCTCCTCCCTCCTCCCTCCTCCCTCCTCCCTTGGTTGCACCCAGCAGGACCCGACGCCGATCTCTGGTGGCAGGTAGGTCAGATTTTGCAGCAGCGGGGGGAGGCGGTTTCTTGCTCGGTACTTTTCGTTCATTCCCACCTGGAGGGTGAGCATATTGTCAGGGGAGTCGCCCCCCGTAATCTCGTGTTAGGCAATATGTATATACATATATATATGTGTATATATATGTGTGTGTGTGTGTGCTGGTTGCTTCGCAGCGGCAGGAGCCGCAATCGGCCGACTTCCAGAGTCTGCACGGGCTTGCATACACTTAGTAGAACAGCAAGCTTTCGCAGTCCGCATGCGCATCCTTCAAAGCACCCTTGAGGCCATCCTTGCCGAGGAAAGACTCAAGGCCGCCGAGGGGGGCAAGCGTAGGCGTAGGCGTCAGCAGCATGTTTCTTCTGTTGTAAGGCCGCCTGCGGCCAGTGTGTGTGTGCTATGTTTTCGATTCAGCATCGCCTCAAGAAAAACTCCAGGAGCTGTTCCAGGTGTCAGGGCTTTGCTTCCCAAGCTCGTAAAACCGAGTGGATGAGCTCACCTTGTTTTTCCTTAATTAATGTGGACGGTGTTGTTTGGCGACGGGGGGATACGCTCACACATCACACATACTCAGATTCCATTCGGGGTTGGGCATCTGGTTTTGCACTGCATGTGGCTGCTTCGCGTCAGAGCAATTGAGGCAGCTCGGTGCAGTGTGTAATGATGTCGTCAATGGTAATCGCAGAGTGTATCTTGATAGAATCACCCGTGGGATCTGGCCGAAAGTTCGCAGTAAAGCCGAACTGGCCAGAAGGAAGCAGCAGGGTTAATCTGCTTCAGTTGTAACCGACACTGTCGCCATACCCAGAACCCCAGAATCCTCCCTCTCCTCCTCCCTCTCCTCCTCCTCCTCCTCCTCATCCTCCTCCTCCTCCTCATCATCATCGTCATCAGCATCATCATCAGCAGCAGCATCATCATCAAGCATTATCATCATCCTCTCCTCCACCTCCTCCTCCTTCTCCTCCTCCTCCTCCTCTTCCTCCTCCTCCTCCGCCTCCTCCTCCGCCTCCTCCTGTTCCTTGGGGTATGACGGCTTCCCAGCCTTTATTCCACTGCGTGCTCCCCCACATGCCTGATCTTGGCGACTCGCCTGGGCATCGTTTCTGGATGGGCTGGTGGGGTCACGCGAAGCGTCTAGAATACCTGGGAGACTTCATGGCCCACGAGCCGCAACGCTGTGCACGCGGCCAGGCTTCGTGCCGGCACACGCCCGCCAGGCTCCGTGGCGGCGGCGTCCGTCATCGCGGCCTCTCGGCCCAGCCGGTCGCGCCTGAAGGGGCCCAGGGAGGCACAACAAAATCGGATCACATTCCATCCCCACGTTGTGCCCTATTTCCTGGATGTGCGTGTCCCCCTCGATTTCCCATATTCTCTCGTGTCTCCATGGGAATCAACGTTTGATATGTTTGAGTAATGTTTCCCAACCATCCTGTGGTGTTGGGTCCTCGTTTTGAAGAGACAGCGCCCCGCGTTCCTTCCTTCCTTCCTCCCATCTTTCCTTCCTTCCCGCTGCACCATCCCTCCTCCCATCCCGTGCCTCTGCTCTCCGCATGCCCATCCCATTTTGCCACACCCCTCACGAGGATCGTGGCCCGAGAGGGAGCTCCACCGAAAGCCCCAGTATGCGGGGACCGCCACCCATTCTGGCACACCCCTCACGAGGATCGTGGCCCCACAGGGAGCTCCACCGAAGGTCCTAGCGGCAGGGTCCGCATGCGGGGACCGCCACCCGTTCTGGCACACCCCTCACGAGGATCGTGGCCCCACAGGCGACGCCCATTGTGGCACACCCCTCACACGGTTCGTGGCCCCATTTGGAGCCCCACTGGAAGCGGTAACCACAACGCGGTATTCACAATTGCCCATGGTTGGGTCTCTCGCCAGGATAATGTTCCTCCTGAGCGTCTTCGGCGCCGCCCAGGCTGGCCGCGCTAGCCAGCGCCGCGCCGTCTTCAGCGCAGCCTGCAGGGCCAGCGCGGGGCGAGCGCTGGGGAGGCCTGGGCCGGGGCGCCGCCTGGAGGAAGGAGGGGGGGGAGTGCGGGAGAGAGGAGGGGAAGGGGGAGCAAGAAAGCGAGGGAGGGGGAAGGATGAAGAGGAGTCACACAGCGGACACGGCGACGATCGCCTGTCGCATATCCGCCCCCTCCACTCCCGGGCCCAAAGTCCTCTATCCTGACCTTCGAGGCCTTCGTGTCCGTGGCCGCCAGGGTATCTCCTCCAGCAGCTGAAACATCCTGCAAGGAAGCGGGCGAAGACGACGAAGACAACACGAAGACGACACGAAGACGACGAAGACGACGAAGACGACGAAGACGACGACGACGACGCCGAAAAGTCAGAAGGACAGAAAGGGATAAAAGGAGAGGAGCGTTGAGCGCAGGCCGACGCGGGTGTCGCCCAGATGGCTGGGCCGGCAGGGGGACAGGAGCGAGAGAGCGGGAGCGGCTGGAAAAAAGCGCAAGGCACGCCCACAAGCGGCTCCTCGCTGGCCCCGGGTGCACGCGCTGTCGGTCGCGCCTGCCAGCGGGGAACCTCAGGCCTCACAGGTGCGGAGACGGGCGTGGGGATGAGGATGTCAGGCACGGATAGGATGACAACTCCTGTCCACGATCTGCGCGCCAGAGGAGCTTACAAGGGCTCGTCGCCTGGCCCGTGGGTGGGCCAGACCACTCTGAACAGCTCTGGGCGAATGGAAGGAAGGTCCAGGAGGCGTGGGGTAGGTAGCCCCACGCGCGTTGTCGCATCGGCGGTGCTCTCAATGCAGATGTGACTGCTTCGATAGTCGGAAACAAAATGTGCGCAAACGTGCGTGTGGCCCGCGCTTAGTACTTCTACTGGTTCCGCCTAGTCGCTGCGCGCGAGGCCGCTTCCGCAAAAAAACGTGAGAGAGAGTGCGTGTGTATGTGAAAGTGTACGTGTATGTATGCGTATGTGTATGTATATGTGTGTGCTTGTGTATGTGTGTATGTGTGTATGTGTATGTGTATGTGCATATGTACGTGTATATGTGTGCATGTGTATGCGAGTATGTGTGAATGTGTGTAGGTGTATGTGTATGTGCATGTGCATGTGTATGTGTGCATGTGCATGTTTATATATATGTATGCATGTATGGTGTGCATGTGTGTATAAAGGTATGTATGTACATGTGTGTATGTGTGTATGTGTATGTGTATGTGTGTATGTGCATGTGTATGTGCAGGTGTATGTGTGTGTATGTGTACAGGTATGGGTATGTGTGTATGCGCCTGTATGTATGTATGCGTGGGTGTGTGTACGTGTATGCGTATGTGTATGCGTGTGTGCATGTATATGTGTGTCTGGGTGTGTATGTGTGTACGTGCGTATGAGTGTGTATGAAGGTGGATGCGTGTATGTGTGTATGTGTATATGTGTATATGTGTGTATGTGTGTATGCGTGTATGTGTGCATGTGTATGTGTGTAGATGTGTGTAAATGTGTGTATGTGTATGTGTATGTGTCTGTGTATGCGTGCGTATGTGCGTGCATGTGTGTATGTGTGTATGTGTGTATGTGTGTATGTGTGTATGTGTGCATGTGTGCGGCTCTGTGTCCCGACGCTGCTGCGGATCGTCTCCGCCTCGCCGCCTACGGAAAAAAGTGTGTATGTGTGTATGCTTGTATGTGTATGTGTGTATGTATGCTTGTGTGCATATGTGTATGTGTATGTATGCGTATGTGTATGTGTATGGGTGTGTATGTGTGGGTATGTGTGGGTATGTGTGTGCGTGTGTGTGCATATGTGTGTATGAGTGTATGTGTCTGTGGGGCGTGCGGGCGGGCGTGCGTGCGTGCATGCGTGCGCGCGTGCGTGTGGGTGTGCGTGGGTGCGAGCGTGCGTGCGTGCGTGCGTGCGTGCGTGCGAGCGTACGATGGTGCGCGCGTGCGTGCGTACGTGCGCGCGTGCGTGCGTGCGTGAGTGCGCGCGTGCGTGCGTGTGTACCTTTGTGCGAGCGTGCGTGTGGGCGTGTGTGCGTGTGCGTATTCCCGTGCGCGTGCGCGTGCGCGTGCGCGTGCGCGTGCGCGTGCGTGTGCGTGTGCGTGTGCGCGTGCGTGTGCGTGCGCGTGCGCGTGCGCGTGTGCGTCAGCGTGTGCGTGTGCGTGTGCGTGTGCGTGTGCGTTTTGCCTGTGCGTGTGCTCGTGCGTGTGCGTGTTCGTGTGCGTGTGCGTGTGCGTGTGCGTGTGCGTGTGCGTGCGCGTGTGCGCGCGCGGTGTGCGTGCGTGCGCGTGTGCGTGTGCGTGTGCGTGCGCGTGTGAGCGTGCGCGTGCGCGTGCGTGTGCGTGTGCGTGTGCGTGTGGCTGTGCGTGTGCGTGTGTGCTTGCGTGTGCGTGTGCGTGCATGCGTGTGCGCGTGCGTGTTGTGCGCGTGCGTGTGCGTATGCGTGTGTGTGTGTGTGCGTGTGCGTGTTCATGTGCGTATGCGTGTGCGTGTGCGTATGCGTGTGCGTATGCGATTGCGTGTGCGTGTGCGTGTGCGCGTGCGTGTGCGTGTGTGCGCGCGTGTGTGTTATCCGCCCTGTCGCTGCGCGCAGGACCGCGACGCCAAAAGTGTGTATGTGTCGCATCCGAGTCACTGTGGTGGTGCCTCCGATGCTGGGCTCTACAACTAGTGCACGCATGATGTCCGAAGCGCATTTCTTGTGTAGCGCAGCCAGGTAGTGGACGTACACGAGGTGAACGTGAGTAGATCGCGTGATCCCACACATTCGTCACTTGTAGCAAAGATGGTCGCAACACGTGGCCGACTGGAAATCGTGGATCCCTTCCGTCAGCTTCCGCGGGCCTTCCTTTTTTTTTTTCCAACGCTACACCCTCTAAGAGTCCTTATGGATGTCTTGCGGCGGGCCCTATCAAAAAACTACCGATCTCTCGGCGCAGCATAATTCTGTCGAGACGAATTAGCTGGGGCCTGAAGGGAGCGCAGAGGCTGGGGTGACGTGAAGCGCTGGCCTCCCGCCCACAGGGTCCCACCCCCGAGCACCCCCTCCTCTAAGGGGATGGCACTTCGAGAGCGGTCGCAGCAGGACCCCCTAGTCCCGCCGCGAGCCCTCGACCCAAAAGGTACCTAGCTTCCTCGGTCTCTTGGGACCGTTCCAGATCTAAAAAACCGATCTAACCCACGGAGCTCACAGGTGGCTGCAGCAGGGGCGTTCACTTCTGCTTGGGGCGCTTGGGGTGTTTCTTGCCGCCTCCGCCGCCGCCCTTGAACACTAGCTTCTCTAGCTCCTTCGCATCCTTGCTCCTGGGGGCCGTATCGTCCTCGAGCACTATGTTCACTGACTGCAGGCCGCCGTTCTCTTTCAGGCAGTACATGGCTTGCATGAGAGGCGGGTGCGCCATAGCGGCGAATATCCACTTGGTTTCCTCCACCGTCTTGCCATCGACGTCGGTCTTCGTCTGAACGTCGAAGCAGCGGGTCGCCTTGAGCCGCACCTCCTTGTTGTTCAAGCTCTTGCCGAGGTTGACCACCAGTCTCAGCGCCTCTTTCGACTCGACTGGCTGCGGCCCTTGGGCCACTGCTGCGCGAACGTCCTCCAGCTTGCCCTCGACCGCTTCGCTCAGGCGGAATAGCAGCATGCGGAGGTAGGCGTCGGGCTTCTTCCCTAGCGGGTGGCCGCGATACTCGCTTGGCTCGACCGCAGCGCGCGCCTCCTTGCCGACCTTCAGGTAGTTCTGGATGCCCGCCGCGAGCGCCAGCTGCATCTGGGAGCCCGTCTTCAGCTTCACCACCACGTTCTGGTCGCGCGCCGAGCCCCTGAAGTTGTCTTCGTGGCGGAGCAGCAACTTCGTCATGAGCCTGTCCTTCTTGGAGATGCCCGATGGCCCCGCGTCCTCGGGTTCGACTCCGCCCTCGCTGACCTCGGCCTTGGCCGCGTCCCTCTTCTTGATGATGTCCGCCGCGGGCTCGAACATTGGGAGGAGGCGCTGAGGGCGGAAGCGGTGGTCCTGCAGGTGGCACTGGAGCGCGCTGAGAGCCAACGCGCTGCGGGCAACGGTGTTGAACATGACGAAGAAGGACATCTTTGCGAGAAAAAGAGGCACTGCAGAAGGGGCATCTCTTAGCATTCAGATCAGCCATGGGGATATCCAACCTATTGGCAACGATGTCATGAACCGCGAACCTGTGATTCTCCAACCCTTTCTGGCCCTGACATATTTTTCCGCAGTCGGGGCAAACGAGGCGATGCTCTTCATCAATGTCGCCAGCTTCTCTGAGTCGGTCACTCTCAGCTTCGTGTGAGAGGACGGCCTTGAGCTCTGCGTGTGAGAGCATGTCTAGCCACTCCAGCCAGTCTCGTGAGACAGTCGGCGAATCGTTCGGAGCGCGCATCTGGCTCTCCTCGGGAAGACAAGCCCACAACGCACGAAGATCTGCGAGAAGTTGCCCCAATCGACAATTGTGATTTCGACTGTGAGGGTCCTCGAACGAGAGTCGGCCGAAGATTACCGCCCGTACAGCCTCGGTGGGGTCATACTCGGGTCTTTCTGCTTGGAGCCCAGGGGCAATCACGTGTCGCCACCACTGCAGCCTACGATACAGTAAAGTAGAGCTCATACTATAGACTTTGGCACGACGTCGGATATCGGCATTGGAGACATGGTGAAGATGAGCGGGGGAGCGAAGTATATGTCGAAGTTTCTTGGTTTGCCAACGTTCGAGTTTCTTCAAATCCGTCTTCGTGAGAAAGGCAACTTCTAGTGCGTATAGGGCGATAGACCGTACTAGCGAATTCCACAAACGTATCTTGAGACGCAGGCTGAGGTTCCCTTTCAGGACCTTCTGGGACAGCCGGCCGTGGGCCTGGTTGGCGGAGGTCAGGCGAGCCTTGACCTCAGCCGAGGACGACCCCGTCGCCGAGAGCAAACAGCCAAGGTACTTTACAGTCGGCGTCGGGTGGATCGCGCGAGCCTGGCCGTCGGCATGGGTCAAGCTAATGCCAGTCTGCTTAGCACTGATTTTCTTCCGTACCCGTCTGCACCCCTTCCCCACCACGCTCACCATCAGCTCGGTTTTCGGGACATTCATGGTTAAGCCGCTGGCATTAACGTGGATCCGCAGAAACTCTAGGAACTCGGAGACCGTCGCTAAGTCGTCGACCACGGTCAACGCGATTAGGTCATCTACGAACTTCACCTGGGACGCATCTAGCATCCGCAACTCGATAGCGGAGAAACCGACCGAATTCCTGAAGGCCTGGAACTGGGGGTCGTACTGCACCTGGATGCCCTGGAAACCCTCCTCCAACGCCTTGGACCCAATGTCTTTGGTGATGAGATCATAGATGGCGATGAACAGCCCTGGCCCCTCTACACTACCTTGTCTCACCCCTTTTCGAATAAGTAGTTGCCTACAAGGTTTGTTAGTGCGGGCATCTCTGAGGATATAGCAGGTCCCATTGTAGAGCTCCTCAGTGACTAAGCGGGTACCACGGGAGAGCGCCAGCTGATCTAGTGCCTCCCAAACTTGACTTCGAGTCAGGAGGTCGAAAGCCTTCTCAAGGTCGATCAATGCGGCAATCAGGATGCGATAGTCGGTCTTAGTGCGATAAGGGTTCTCACGAAAGCGACGGCCGATCTCGTCAACCAGGGCGATGGCGTCTCGAGTCGATCGACCTTGAAGGGCCCCAAACTGAGTAGCGGAGAGCCGGCCAGACATTGCCCGCAGCTCGGGCATGATGACCACATTAGCGAAAGCCTTTCCGATGTGGCCAATAAGGTTGATCGTCCTGTAGTGATCCTTGGCATTCCTCCCGTCCCCTTTAGGTTTGCGTAATGAAACCGTCTCCCCATTTTTAAACCGTTGTGGAACACGTCGGAAGGCTTGAGCGGCCCTAAAGACTCCAAGAAGAGGGCCCCCTACAAGATCACCTCCAAGCTTCCAAAGTTCAGCTACGGCACCTTCGGGATCTGGTCGAGGCCCTTTCGAGTTCGAGGGGTCCGTCCACTTCAGCACGGGGGCGCTCTTGAAGTTGGGGAGCCTGTTGAGGGCCTTGGTGATGTCCTCAACTTCGTACTGGCCTACGAGCTCCACGTCGGGTTCTTCGGGGATGTCCTGGGGGCCTCCATCCTCATGCATGGGCAACTCCGTGGCCTCAAAGATGGCGCAGAGGGCATCGGTGCGGACCTGCTGGTCCTCGACATCGTCGAAGCACGGGTAGCCTGTGGCTGGGTTGCGGACGGTCAGCATGGGCATGCGGGGCTTGGGCGCAAGGCGCTTGACTATCGAGTAGCAACGTCGGATGTCATGAACGGCATCGGCACGCTCTGCATCGGCCACCAGGGCCGCAATGTGTTGCCGCCTCTCCGCACGCACTGCTTGCTTTGCTCGCTTGGCCGCCCATCGGAATTGCGACAAAATGGATTTGTAGAGCCACGAGCTATGATCAATGACATTGGGCAACATTCTCTGAAAGTACTGCTTGTGTCGGACCAAAGCCAAAGTCGCGTCAGTGAGGTTCTTCTGAGGAGTCGCCTTCGGTGAATTAACATAAAGAGGGTAGGCTGCGTCCACGACTGCTCCTTCCACGGAGTTGTAGTAGCTAGATGTCGTGGTGTATCGTTGGTGGGTACCACACTCTTGCTGCCAGTGTCCAGAAATGGCACGAACTCGAAGCTCGTGGCAAAGTCTGCTGCGAAAGTCTTGTACACGGGCTGGTACCTCATCAGAGTGTTGGAGAAGTTTGAGATCATGAAGCAGAAGTTCTCGGTTCCATCGAACAGGTGAGTCCTGGCGGAGCCGCTGACATCGAAATCGGGCAGAGATCGTGGCTTCGAGAGGGCGGTGGTCACGAAATCCGCCCATGCTGACAGGCAAAGAGTGCAGGACGCGAGCTCCATGTCCGTAGCCTCCTTGCAGTCTTGTGCAGATGTAGTCTATCTGGTTCCAAGTGTTGCCGTCAGTGTGAAGCCAGGTCCCTGCATTCTTCTTGCGGCTGCCATGAGTATTCAAAGCTGTCAAACCGTTGTTCTGAAGAATAGAAAGAAAGTGGCTGCCGTTCGTGTTCGTGGTTCTCGGTTGGCGATCGACTCCTGCATGGCCGACGTTAGGAAGGTCTGGCGCCACCGTACCATTAGCATCGAGACACCAAATCAAGGAAGATCTCTGTGGCACTCGTCGGATGGTGTCGTCGCAAGCCTGCCAGAACCCGTCCTGCGCTTGTCTATGCTCAGCTTGCACTCGGGCTCGGTCGGCGGCCGCCACGTGATGGTTCGCCGTGTTGGTCGGCGCGTAGCCGTTCATAATGTAGAGGTCTCTCTCACGGGCACCTGTTCGTCGAACGCGGAGTCCCAAAAGTCGGCCTGGGATCCATTCATGGACGCAGCGGACCTCCAGCGGGTCAAAGAAGTGCAAGTTGAGCGCCGTCAAGCAGCCGTCCTTCGCTCGGGAGGAGGTTCTCGGGGTTGGGTAGACACGAAAGCCCGCGCTGGTCCAAGATGTGGTAGCTCCCATGAGAGTACTCTGAAAGCAAACGATAGCGATTTGTTGTTCACGGGCGTGTCGTAATAGTTCTCCCAGGCGGTCTATGTATATAAGTGATTCTGTGTTGTAGCTCCAGACTTTCATGAGGTGGGTAGGTCGCGGTCGTCGTGGTCTGGGGGGTCGCGGCGAGCTCGAGGAAACGTCGGTGACCCTCTGGAAGGACGTCACGTCTTGCTTAGAATAGTAGGCAACCATGGGGCGCGTCAGCAACTGGCCTCGGTACCAACTGCTGCCTGTCACCACCGCGAGCCTCATCGCACGTCTCCAGGCCCGTTTGCCACCCATAGGCCCTGGTTCCAGCCTGCTCTGGTCGTCGTGAGACTCCTGCACGCTGTCCTCGGAGGTCGGGCAGCCTCCGAACGCTCACCTCGCTGGCGTCGAAGCAACTAGCAGCGCCCCGCCGCGCCACAGGCATCGCTCATGGCGGGTCTGGCAGGGCACTCGCGCGGGTCGCAGCCAGGGGGGGACTTGCGACCCCCCTCCCCTTCGGAGGCAAACGGATCCTTTGAGCCGTCGAGGCTTCGCGGGCCTTCCGCCGGCTTCCGCCGAGGGCGAGACGCCCAGAAGGCGAGGCCCCTTCCGGAACGGCCCACGCACACCCAACTGGCCACCATAAGGACTGCTAACTCTGAAACGAAAACCGCTCGGGCCCCGAAAGCTCCTGGGTGTATAAGGCGCGCCAGAGGGGCAACCATGGAAGGACCCAAGATACAGCCAGCGCTTTCCGAACCCAAACAGTTACTTACGACAGCGTACAGGCTGGACTGGAGGGAGGGGGGAGGGAGAAAACGGAAGGAAGAGGGAGGACAGTCCTGGCCCTCCAGGCTGATCAGGGCGGCACCGAGGACCTCGCAGCGGTTCCCCGCCCTCCTGCTGATAACCCGCTTCCTGCACCCCACCAACACCATCAAGGTCCATCCTCATCATCATCACCACTACCATCACGACAAGAAAGGCGGCGGCATCATCATGCTACTCCTCCTCCTCCTGATCCTTCTCGCTGATCCGGTGATGCGGGCGAGTCCGCGTCGAAGCGCCGATGCCCTTGACGCCCTCCCCCCGCGACCCTGCGGGGGGAAGGGCGCACAAACCCACGAGGCAAAGACGAAGGGCCACAGCCCGAGGACGGATGGCCGCAGCCTGCGGAGCGGGAGAGGAGCGGGCGGGCGGCGCCGGCATGCGCAGTGGCGCAGTGCGGGGTGCAGAGGCGGCCCGAGCGCGGGCCCCAGCCCCTCTGGGGGGGAGCCGAGGAGGAGGAGGCGGAGGGGGAGGAGGAGGAGGAGGAGGAGGAGGAGGAGGGGGAGGAGGAGGAGGAGGAGGAGGAGGAGGAGGAGGAGGAGGAGGAGGAGGGAGGAGGAGGGAGGAGGAGGAGGCGCGCCTCTCCTGCAGTAGGGGCCCGCCTCCGCGGAGCCTGCCAGAGGTCCGAGGGAGGCGGAGGAGGGGGTGCGGTGCTCCTGGCGCGGCGCAGCAGGTCGCGGCGGAGGGAGCGGTGTGAGGAGGGGGGGGGCCGGGCAAGGCAGAGGGGCGCTGCGGACCGAACAGGGCGGCGGCTGAGCTCGCGCTGGAGGAGGGAAAGCACGAGAGGCGGAAATCGAAACTCGAGCGAAAGGGGAAGGAGGTGGGGGGGGGCCCGAGCAGGGCCCCAACCCCCCAGGCAGGGGGGGGTGGGAGCCCCGTCGGCGTGGCTCTTGTGCCCAAGGGTCGGGTGGTCCACGGCCTCCCAGCCTTCGCCTGGAGGCCCGCGCCGTCGGCGGCGCCGCCGCTTGCCTCGCCCCGCTCTGATGTCCGACCCCGCCCAGTCACCCTTCCCCAGTGCCGGCGCTGGCTGCGCGATGGGGAGGTGGAGCACTTGCACGCAGGAATGGCGAGGAAGGGCCAGGTTAGGTGAGCCTCGAGGTACCTTAGCGGGGAAGTAGAGAAGTTCACTGAAGCAGGTGGAATTGCCGAAAGAGGAGCAGTGGAGGTAGACGTAGTCCGGGGAATTACCGCTGTGGCGGTAGCGAGGAAATACTGTTCAAGGTGAGCGCAGGCGTTCCCCAGAGGTACTGCCGTCGGCGGTGGTGGCGTGGAGAGGCGGCAGCGGGAAGGTCGTCGGACGCGTGGGGAATGGAGGGGTGGGGTGAGGAGGAGGTCTTCGCATGCGTGCGTCAAGGCAGAGATCCAGGAGTGGGCCCCGCCCGCGCCGCGGGCCGGCTGCCCATGCGGCGGGGGGGGGCATGGAAGGAGTGGTTGGGGTTGGCGAAGTATTCTTGACGCTTCGCGTAACCCCACCTGTTGCTCCGCTCGCTCGCTTCTGGTGGTCATGATGCTGATGCTCCGTGAGCCGCGAGTGTTTCTATGGCCTTTCTCTCACGCAGAGCAGGCTGGGGACGTCATCGAAGCTATTCTGGGGTTCTGCGTACCCTGGCAAGAGGTCCACCAGGACTTCCGAAGCCGTTTCGCCAGCACCTGGAGCCTCACCCTGGAAGACTTGGCCGACCTGCACAGTCGCATCGAGGCAGTCCTACCACACATCTCCAGGCTCGTGGCTTTGGCCCATCACCACCCGGCTGCGCAGGAAGCCGGCTGCCCGCAGACCTGGAGCGAGATGGACAGACAAGACTTCCAGCTACAAGCGCCGATGATCGTTCTCGAACGGATCGTCCCGGCAGCAACTCTGACCTGCCTGGACACAGGCGACTGCTCAGTGTGTGCACTACACGTCGCACTGGCTGGTTCCGACGCCTCCCTCGGACCCGACGACAGGGTTGCGGGCCTTTCCTACATCGGCGGCGGACTTGCCTTGTCCCAGACCGACCTCAATGCCCCTCCACCACCGGCACCGGCCCCGGGCACCAGACTGTACCCTCCGTTCATCCCCGACGAAAGGCTCGCGCTCGAAAAGAAGAACAACAGATACACGTGCGACAGTTGCGGGAAGGGCCACCTGACTGCCGCTGAAGGTACCTGGATCTCCGACAGCACGCGCCAGATGGTCGCTCAGAATGAACCTCAGGCGTACATCAACGGCGCCAACATGGGCTGGTACTGCGCTGGCTGCTGGATACGGAACCTCGAGGACAATGGCTTCCCTACGCCTGCCGGAACGAAGCTCACCGACAGAATCAGGGAACATGAGCAGCAGATATCGGGGACCGGCAACGACAGAGCGAGTGTCCTCCCTTCCCTGGGACTCCTTCCGCTCGGCTACGGCTGCAACCCCCTGGCGGACACGAGGCAGTTAGATGACCTCCTCATGGAACCGACGGGCATGAAGATCCCCGAGTGTGCCAATGCCACCATTCCGGTCCTCTGGATCCGGGACGACCGCTTCGGCATCAAAGCCGCTCAAACGCGGACCTACTCCGCGCGGCGCGACACCTGCCCCAAGGGGGTCCCGCTCCTGGTCTGGGACCCCGGCTCTCCGCCGCTGGGGCGCTTCATATGGAAGCCGGCTGAAGACATAGGAGTTCCCGAGCAACATGGGCTGCCCCCCATCGATAAGCGTGCCCTGGCCTGGTGGGGGCGCCAATGGAACGCTACTTGGTGCTGCCGGCGCTGTCTGGTCCCGATTTGGAACATTGGCCCGGCCACCCTGGACCACATCCTGGATCGCGACTTCAGGCCGCTGTATCCAGATGAACCTCCGGCCCTTCCCCCGCTCAGCAGCCAGATTGGGTTCGAGGCACCTGTGGACATCGTGGATTCCCTCCCGTGGCTTGGCGAGGACGCCAAGGCCCAGGACCAATTCACCAAGGTCGGAGCAAGCAATCCCCCTGGACCCAGCCCCGCAGGCAGCTCTGGCGCGGCGCCAGAGATCACCTCCCTGGCAGGGCCCCCGCCATCTGGCGCGTGTTCTGGTGGCGACGACAGGCCAGATACTCCCATGGCGGCCGACACAGACAGGTCTCAGGGTTCAGCGGACAACGACTCACGCATGGGCCACCATGATCCGCCCGACGACGACAGCGGTGAAGGCGCGGAAGACGGGCTCCCCCTTCACAAGATGGAGCCCGACTACGAAGAGGATGGACCCGCCCGTCCTCCCACGCCTTCCGAGTCGGCCCAGGAGGGCGATGATAATCGCTCAGGCGGCGATGGCCCACAGCGTAGCCCGTCGGCGGGCAGCTCTGACACCAGCCGCGAGGATACCGCGACTTCAGTTGCAGAAGACACGCCCTACGCCGATCGCAGGAGGGCTCCAGCTCGAAACCCCGCGAGGCACGAGAGGACCAGCGACGGTGGCGGCTCGCGGCACGAGCGCTTTCCCGCGCCCACCCCGACGCCCCCTGAGCGCAGGCCCCATTACTCTCGCCATACTGGCTCTCCCGAGCAGGACGCACTCAACACGCTGTCCTGCCCTGATGGAGGCGGCCCAATGTACAAAGTCAGGCTGGGCACCGTCGAACTCGAACGTCCCGACGAGACACCAGCCAGTCGCATATCCAGGCTTCAGTCGCAGCTGGGAGCAGTCTTTTGCGCACTGTGGACAGCGAACACGCAGCGTACCCTGCTCCCTGGATGGAGGGCGCCCAAGTCCGACCCGAAACTACACATGCCCTCGGATATTATCAACTTCCTAGAGGCCTGGAAGGACTGCGGGTACGACGCCTACGAGATGAACAGGAGGCTTGGCTATGATATCGACTGGAACAAGATACGAGCCAACTACCTGCGTCACTCCCAGACAGACGACTGGAGCAAGGGCGGCTATCGCCACACGGACTGGCGCGACCGTGCGACAAGTTCCTGGGACACCTGGAGCAGTTGGCAGGGCGAGTGGCGCGACGGATGGCGTGAGGATCACTGGCAGGCGGGTGGCAAGCGCGGCGGAGGTTACCCTGATGATCGGGATGATCGAAAGGAAAAGAGACTCCGCTGGAGAGACTGAACTCCCTCTCTGCCCTCACCGCCCCCCAGTGCCCGCGCCACCACCTGCGCTTCACAACGCGCCACCGCGGCCCTCTGCCGCCCTTTCCTTCAACCTGGGGCAACTCTGCCTCCCCTCCCCTGAGCGGCACCCTCTCTCACCCTTTGCCTTGGGGCACCGTTCGGTAATACCGTCTGCTCCGTGCGTGACACCGCGCATCCTGCAGACCACTTGCCACTGGCATCACTGCCTTTCTCCACCGGTGGCCGACACCCTCTCGTCACTCGGCTCCTCTCTCCCCGCCTTGTTTCACTTCCTGAATCCCAGCGGACGCTGCCCAGGCCGCGCCGCGGGCCCCTAATCGCGGCGCTCTGCCGCCCTCCACCCGATGCGCGCACCTCCTGCCTTTGGATCCAGGTGCGCGCTTCGGCAATACCGTCCACCGCTTCTCCGCAGTGGACTCGCGGCCACAGGCCCTACTGTAGTTGTCTCACCGCCAGGCCTTCCTGGCCTGTCAGTGGGCCACGGCTCGCCTGACCACTGGCTTCCCCCTGGACTTTCTAACCGAACGATCGGCCTTCCGCCGCCACCCTGGACCTTTCAAACAAGAAGCACGGCCTTCCGCCGTCATCTTGGATCCATTGGCTCTGAGGGACACGTCTCGGGTACAAGGCGTCCTCGTCCCTCTGTGCTAGACGACTCGGTTGGGTATCGCTGGGCCACCTTAGATGTGCATACTCCTCGAGGTCTGCCGTGTATCGTGCTCTTCTACGCCCTTCCACTCGTCGGATCTGGGCTGTCGCATCTCAGTTGTGGAGGTTTGTCTTGTCTTCCTGCTCCACACCCTGGATGCGCTTCTTGCGTTGCGACTGGCTCGCCGTCAGCTTTTTCCGTTGGTCCTTGTTTCCAGTCAGCCTGTGGTACCCTTCAGGCTCCACGGATCGGTGCCCTCTGGACTCCCATTGCTGGACGGCTTCCTACCGCGACCCTGGATCAGTGGCTTTGTGGGACTTGCCTGGGTATACACGGTCTCGTTCCGCCTGTGCTCTCCGTCCCTTTGGACTGCACTGTGACACTGTGGTGTGCACACGCCGCGTTTCGACGGGTTGCGTGCATCAGGTGCCCGTCCACCCGCTGGGTCTGGGCCGAAACATCTCGGTGTGGTAGTCTTCTCGGAACATTGATACACCTTGATGTCGTTCTGGCGCCGCGGCTCGCTGCCGCCGTCGGGATCCTCGTTGGACTTACCACCTCGTCGTCTGTGCTACCCGACAGGCTGGGGCTGACGTCCTCGGGTCGTTCCCTTGTCCGCACCTGGACGTTGGAACGTTATCGCGCCATTTTGGCTGCGCTAGGTGGTCTCGGTGCCTACCTCAGGCCTGCTGGACGCACCTGCATGCCCGTTCAGGGGCTGTCATGGCACCTGGATTGCATCGGCTTCGGCCCCCTGGACGCTGCCGTGAGCCGCCTGATCCGCGGCCCTGCGCGCGTTCGGTAATTTAGTCGCGTCCGCGGCCCGTTCGCGACCTTCCGCCGCTGGCGCTTCCGCCTGCGGCTGTATGTATATATATATATATATATATATATATATATATAAAAAATGTTGTGGTCGGCCATCTCCAGGCTTTGGCCCGAACCCCCCTCAGCGGCGTACAGTCTGGCCGACGTTCCATGTGAGTGAGTGGTTTTGGCACCTTCCGCCTGGCAGTCTGGCCCCACCTGCGGGTCCGGCTTTTCCGCCCTCCCCACCCTCGCTGGCACACGCTCAGCGGCTGGTTCTTTCCATTTGCATCCCTCGCTGGCACATGTTCAGCGTTGTTAAGTTTCTGCTGCTGGCACAAGCTCAGCTGCTTCTTCTTTGCCGGCACTTGTGCTGCGCCGTTAATTATCTGCCTTCCCGTGCGCTGTGTCCCAGCCTCGTTCACACCGCCCTCTGGACTTTTCCTTGCGGGCCGCGAATCAAAAAAGTAACCCCACCTGCCCATCCAGAGACGATGACCAAAGGAGTTGCCTCGATCAGGGAAGAGGGCAGCACACAGAGGAAGGGTCCCTCTTGGAGCGCTCTTGGGACACTCTTGGGCGCTCTTGGGGCAGTCTTGGGGCTCTCTTGGGCCTCTCTTGGGGCCCTCAGATAATCTTGGAGCCATCTTGAGGCCGTGGAAGACCATGGAAAGCAAGTAGGCGAGAAGGCACAATTCATTGATTGGCCTTGGATGTTTGAAGGAGTTGGGCCTCTTGGCGGCCTCCTGGGGAGGCTCCGTGGCCACTCGGAGCCGTCGTCGAGCGGTCTTGGGGCCTCTTGGAGCATCTTCGCAGTCATATTGAGCCACCTTGGGCTATCTTGGGTCACCTTGGAAGTCATCTTGGGCCCTCTGAGGCGCTCCTAGAACCATCTTGAACCATCTTGGACACTTCAACGGACCCCACCCCTCCAGGTCCAGGAAAGGGGGTTAAGGGGGAGGGGTCAAGCTACCCACCCGCCCGCCCGCCGTCTAGCTCACTCCCACCCGCCCTCCCAACACATAAGTAACACCCGAACCTGAGCATGTTCAGCGGTCGTCTTTGGATGGGCAGCTACTGGGAACCAAAGCCGACCCCAGGTGCGCGGCGCTTGGGCGAGGTGCGCCACGCGTGCCAGGGGCTCCACGCGAGCCAGGCACCCCCGAGCTTGCCAGGCACGCCTGGTGCGCCAGATGCGCCACGTGCTCCGAGTACGCCAGGCACGTGCAGAGTGCGTCAGGTGCGTCTGCGCACGTGACAGCACACATCGGAAAACATGTCGGCCCCACCATCCTTGTCGAAAACCAATGCCCATCATTGTGTCTGGTGGACCTGCGCACAGCAGACCACGCGCCACCACCCCCGCCGTCACTGTCAAAAGCCGCTCGACAGTGATCTCGGGGTGGCCGCGCATGATCCAGATTCAGCCGCGAGATGCATGTTTTCTTCTTCTTGTAAGGGGTAGCCCTGCGCACAGCAGGGAGTATGCTGACGCCCCCGCCGCCCCTGTCAAAAATTAACCTGACGAAGGGCCCAACCATATGCAGTTGTGGATACCGCAATTGTACATATCGTCTGCGGTGGCGCTCCCTGGGGGGCCACGAAAAGTGCGAGGGGTGTATCGGATTTCTTCGCACGTTTCCTTCTTCCTTCTCCCTTCCCCCCGCGCACAAACATCGCGGGCAAAAACGCCTAGAGCTGTTCTTCTTCTTCCTCCTCCTCCTCCTCCTCCTCCTCCTCCTCTTCCTCCTCCTCCTCCTCTTCACCCTGCCTTCCTGCTACGCATCCTCCTTCTCGTCCTCCTCCCCTTTGTCTGGATTGCCCCCATCAACCTCCGGTCTCAGGAGTGAACGCAGCAGGGGTGGCCCGTCGTCTCCTGGCCACCCTTGGCAGCAGAGGGGGCACCAGCTGCTGGAATGCAAAAACCCTCGACCAGCTGACGAGGAAGAGCGAGGACAAACTGCTGCCTTCGCTGTGGGACTTTTGCCACAGCTGCTTCAAAGGAAGGGGTGCGTGCCAGGCAGACGCGTACGCCTGCCGAGGCCCTTGCCAAGGCCAAAGTTCGGGCCCAGAGGGCCCGCAAGTGATTGCATCCCTGCGACTCGTATCCGCGGCGCCGTCTGGTTCCGAGTCTGACAAGGCCATCCCCTGCATCCCAAACCGAACGGGACCCGTGGCTTGCTGCCTCGAGCCAGGACCTCACGCGGCCCTCGGCGAGTGTTGCTGATGCAAGGAGGCCCATTGAGGCCGCCAGTGTTCCGCCCGCTCTCGAAACCCCTGGACCCGCGCCCACACCTTGAAAGAGGGCTGACGCATTTCGGCAATTCCTGCAAGGAGGCGGTGGAGCTGGTGGCCTGGGCTGAAAACCAAGCCCGCCTGCTTGCCTGCCAGGGTCTCGAGTAACCCTACCCCCTCTCTGGTGACGGGTACCATTTCTCTGTCGGGTTAAGGGCATATTTCCTCTCTTCCCCTTTAGTTAGGTCGTGGCTGACTCAGCCGGTCGCTGCGCTCCGCCGCCTCCTCCTCCTCCTCCTCCTCCTCCTTCCTCCTCCTCCTCTTCCTCCTCCTCATCCTCCTGCTCATCCTCCTCCTCATCATCATCATAATCCTCCTCTTCCTCCTACTGCTCCTCCTCCTCCTCATCATCATCATCATCATCATCATCATCATCATCATCGTCAGCAGCAGCATCATCAGCATCATCAGCATCATCAGCATCATCATCACCATCATCATCCCTTCTCCTCCGCTTCGTCCTCCTCCTCCATTATCCCTTCTCCCTTCTCCCTTCTCCCTCATCCCTCCTCCTCCCCTTCCCCCCGCCTTCCCCTCGTCCTCCCTCACACCCCCTCCCCCCCACTTTCCACCGCGGAAGCGACACCAGAGGCGGCTGGCCGCCCGAGCCTTCGAAGACTGCCCGCCGCCAGCCCGGCCTCGAGCCAGCACGTCCCCCTCGGTGCGGTGCCGGCGACGGCTGCGTACCACGGGCTCCGACTGCGCCCCGCCACCGCTGGCCTCTGCGCGGGGCCGACCCCTTTGTCATCTCTCCCTTCTCTCGTTCCTCCCTCCTCCCTCCTCCCTGCTCCTCCTGCTCCTCCTCCTGCTCCTCCTCCTGCTCCTCTTCCTCCTCCTCATCATCATCAGCAGCAGCATCATCAGCATCATCACCATCACCATCAGCAGCAGCATCATCAGTTTTCTCCTCCTCCTCCTCCTCCTCCTCCCCCCCTCCCTCCTCCTCCTCCTCCTCCTCCTCCTCCTCCTCCTCCTCTCCTCCCCTCCTCCTCCTCCTCCTCCTCCTCCTCCTCCTCCTCCTCCTCCTCCTCCTCCCCCTCCTCCTCCTCCTCCTCCTCGCACGCCGCCTTCGCTGAGTCCACATCTGTCCGCCTACCGGGATCGGGAGAGAGCAGCGCGCGCGCGCGACTGTGCAGGGCGTACGCCTCCGGCGGCGTCGGCAGCACACGCCCCTGTGCCTTGAGGAGGTTGCGAAGGTGGAAGGCAGCGGCAGGAACCTCGAAGGAGGACGGGGAGGGATCGAGGAGACCAAAGCGGGCTACAGGGCAGGCTGGGACATCTCTACCTAAGATGAGGGCGAGATTGTGGAGAGAACGGGGGCAGCTCCAATAATGATGCTGTGAGTCTGGACAATCAGGGCAACCGAGCCTACAGCCAAACGAATCGAGGTCGTGCATCCTGTCAGAGGTGGCCCACGCTCCGCCCAGAGTTTTCCAGACAGCGTTCGTGAAACTGGGTTTCAATTTACAGAGACATGTTTTGACCGAGGACCAATTAATTCTAGCAATATGATCTACTTGCTGGGGGTACCACCTCTTCAGCCATTCTCTAAAGTCGTGGGACACACGGTCTGGGTAGACCCCACACAGCAGCGCCTCGCCGAGAACTTTCTGCGCCTTCAGCTTCTTAGTGCCATCATGGGATGAGCGGGCTCGGGCAAAGGCAGCGAGATCATCAGCAACAGCAGAACTCACCAACGGGAGAGAAGGAAATCCGAGGGCCGCTTCCTCGAGGTCCTGACAGAGGGCTTGCCGAGCCTAAAAGGGCGGAGAAAATTCTTTCTTCACTACCCGAGCGAACGGCAGGCGCTTGCGGGCTTGCACCCGTAGACCCGCCGCGAGGGTCTGCCATTCATGAAAAGCAACCAGGGCACTGCGCATCAGAGCAGCGAGCTGGACGACCACTAAGCTCGGGATCGCTGGGCCTCCCCAGAGAAACAAGTTAAAGAAGCTCGCGCGCGACAGGCAACAGTGGGGTACATTCAAGAGCGAGGCCTGAAGAGCGTGCTCGCGCCGATCGATGGGATTGCGAGGGAGAGAGAGAGAGAGAGAGAGAGAGAGAGAGAGAGAGAGAGAGAAGAGGCCTCAGGAGGAAGGGGGAACTGGGCAACGTATGAAACGCATGGGACCGCGCGCTTGGCGCACAGATATTGCGACACAGTCGTTGGCGCACCGACCCGAGCGATGGCGGCGCCTCTAGCGGCCCACTTTTGAAGCGGAGCACGCCAGGCGTGGTCCACGACGGGAGGGCCCAACAGGATCCCCAAACAGGTGAGCATCGGAACGATTTGAAACTCAGTCCACGCAGGGGGGTGGTCCGCTAGCCACCTCGAGTATCTACTGGCAAGCTTCTCCGGAAAATCCCCAGCAAGTGACACTAAGAAGCCTTTAGATGGCTTCAGTTTCAAATTGGTGGTTTTCTCTCCCCAGTCAAACACTTCTTTCAGTATGGCAAAGTGAGCTAACTGAAATAACACAGCCCCTAGATCATCAGCACACGCCCGAGCCACAGCGAAACGATGCCGACCAAGTCGATCATGGAACGCAGCAAGTAGAGGGTGCCTAGCAACCGCATACATAGCCCCCGACGCTGGACACCCCTGAATGACCCCACTTTTTACGTCAAAGAGGTATTTGAGCGTTCTACTCTGGACCCCGAAGCACTGGACGACAGAGTAAATCGCGGACAAGAGGGCCAACAAGGGTTCAGGGAGGTTCGCGGCTTTCAGGCACATGAAGATCCACTGCTGCGAGATCGAAACTAGACATGACAGCGAGCTCGAGACCTCATCGCCCATCGAGCAGACTCTGGCAAACTGATCAAGCTCCACGATGTTCAGCCCAAAATTCCGCCCACCAACGAAACCCCTCTGGGTATAGAACACAAGCTTGGGTAACGCTTTTGACAACTGTGAGGTCGCAAAGCCCGTGACCATCTTATTTGCCGTCTGCTTGAGCGTCTGCCCAGCAGAGCGGAAGACCTCGACAGAGTCGCCGCCCTCCGATCCCTTCGGCACGAAGGCGGCGCGCACGAAGCTGAAAGACGGGAGCATGGCCTTCCCCTCCAGGAGCCATCAGAGTACACTATCAAGCAGCCGAACTCCCCCAGCGCGGTCTTGCCACGCAGCGCATGGGAGCCCATCTAACCCAGGAGCGCTATGACTTTGTTTAGCCAGGAACCTCTCGAGCCCTTGGAGCGTCGGCGGAGGAAGGTCTTGCAGTTGGGCCTCAGGGGGGTACCTCTGGAGTAACTTCTTGGCAGCCTCCTGGCGAATATCCCGCGCGGCAAAAACTGCACCCCAATGTTCAGCTAGCGGCCCCAAGATAGCGTCAGGAGCTCGACAGACCCCATGACCATGTCGCAGACCCTGTAGACACAACCGGCGGTCGAGAGGGGACCAGAGCCTCCGTCGTTGTGAGTTATTCACAATTCCTGTGAGTCTCCGTCGTTGTTTATTCTTATCGCGGTCGGATCGAGCGTTCGAAAATATTATGGTTGGCCTCGTTCTGCCGTCGGTTCAAAATCGTGAAGCGGGCTTCGTCGTTGGAGACTCGTAGGAATTCGTCAGGCTCGAGCAGGGAGACGCGCTTCCCCAGCACGTCGACCTCCTGAAATCTGGCACCAAGCGGGTGAGCAGCACGCACACGCTCGGCTAGTCGGAAATCCTGCCTCCAGATCGCTCTAGCCACCGACTTCACCACCATGATTCTGGCCGAGGGGGATCCAGGGAGCTTAGCGATGGCATGGTCACGAGCATAGCGGGCAGCTTCGCGCATGAGCATCGACTGATACTCAAGAGCCAGGGGCGGGGACATGTCGTCGCGGGGGCCCTTCTCGAGGGCCATCTCGAGGAACCGATTATACTGGGTACTCTGGCCTTCATGATGGACCCCCCCCCCCCCCCTGGGGCATGGGCGGGACGGTGGCCAGGGAGAAGAGGATCGGCGAGCGATCGGACAGCCCCTTCGCGCCCATCACTTCGGGGTGCTCGATGCCCCCCCCCCCCCCCCCCCCCCCGCAATACACAACTGGTTGCAGAGCCAGCCAGGCGCCGAGACAAAGCCCCCGTCGATGTTCGTCAACTTTGTCCCAGGCCTGCGGTAGTACGTATAGTCAAGGAACTCAACCCCCACTAAACTGCGAGGAGCACCAGCCAATACAGCGGACCCCTGGGAACTCCACTCCTGGTAATTCTGAAGGACCACAGGCGTCGTGACCTCACCCGAAAACTGCGGCGGCACTGCACTGATGTTGAAATCGCCTAGCACCACGACCAGGCACTTCAAGGGCGAACAGGCAGCGGCGCCCCCAGCGGCCGAGATCGCGTCTGCCACGCGCTGAATGGACACACCAGGGATCCGAAAGTTATGTACGTCGAAAACCGAAAGCCACATCCCGAACTCGAACTCGATTTTGGCGTGGATAACCCTCCCCTCCACAAGAGTCTGTCGCATGATATTTGGTCGGACCGAAAGGTAGTCGAACGACGGGAAAATCGTGACAACCCCTCCTTTCGAACGCGAAGAAGACGAGAATGAGGAATGGGAAGAAAAACCTCGAGCGTGGGAATGGAAGAGAAAGTCTTGAAGGTGATGAACTGAACCATGAACTTCCTGAAGAGCAAGAACAGAACCAGGGGCAAGATGAGAGCGAACGAGTGAGGCCTTCCGCGAGGCAAAGTCCGGAGAGTGATGGAAGAAGGCCCTGGTGTTCCAACTCAGGAACTTGAGCGGGAGCCGTGTCCCGCTGGAAGAGCGCCAAGCACCAAACAGGCTAGGAGCTCCACTCCACCGCGTCAGCAGCGTTGAACTCGGCGCTGATGGCGGTTGCCAAGGCGACCTTGTCGATGCCCAGGTGCTGCAGGTTGGCCACGGAGTATTCGACACAAGGAACTGCATCGCCGTGTTGAGGAGTGACCTTGACCAACGCTTTCCACTGGGAACTGATATCGCCCTTCTGCTTGTCGGTGTAGAAGCGCAGGTCGCCGCGGCTGCGCTCCAATATACGTCGTACCTGCTTGCACGCCAGCTCTCGCTTGATTTGGCACGCGTTCTTGTCGCCACGGAGGAAGACCTCGACCTGCTTGTTGGTGATGTCGAAGGTGGAGAAGCGCATCCAGTCCCCGTCGTCCTTCTTGAGCGCACCTAGGGCTTGGGATACTTTGCGGCTGGCGTAGGCGGTCGAGCCCTTGAAGCGGAAGTTGTACCTCTTGGACGTCGGGCCCCCCTCGATGGTGTAGTCGTCAGCGCCGATGTTGATTTGTTGAACAGCTCGCGGGGTGCAGCCTCCATGCTTGACTTGCCGACCAAGGATTTTGCACAAGCAATAAGAATACCAGCATCAACAGCCCGATCAAAGGCAGGGTCTGGAGCAGGCTTCTGCGGCGTCTCGCTGCGCACGGCCCCGAGGATGGTCCTGAGCTCCTCGACCTGGCGCTCCAGGGTGTTGAGGCGCCCGTCGTGCCCGTGGACGGTCCTCTCCAGAGCATTGCACCGCTGCTCGAGCTTGGTGGAGAGCGAGTCGTACGAGGTGGTGACCTTCGTCGTGACCATGCCCATGGCTTCACGGACGCTGGCCAGAGCTCCGAGTACTTCATCTCGGGATCCGTCCACATACTTCTTGATCTCGTCGGGAAGCCCCTCAGACTTGAGCTTCTTCTGTTCGTTGCCTTGATGGGCAGGGGCGAGCATCGAGCGCGGCCCAGAGGGAGTCGAGAAGTA